TTTTCTGGTTATTCAATTAATTATTTTAATTTGTTTAATTCAATTAATTTGTTTATTTTAATTCAATTAATTTGTTTATTTTAATTCAATTAATTTGTTTATTTTAATTCAATTAATTTGTTTATTTTAATTCAATTAATTTGTTTATTTTAATTCAATTAATTTGTTTATTTTAATTCAATTAATTTGTTTATTTTAATTCAATTAATTTGTTTATTTTAATTCAATTAATTTGTTTATTTTAATTCAATTAATTTGTTTATTTTAATTCAATTAATTTGTTTATTTTAATTCAATTAATTTGTTTATTTTAATTCAATTAATTTGTTTATTTTAATTCAATTAATTTGTTTATTTTAATTCAATTAATTTGTTTATTTTAATTCAATAAAATTAATTTTCTGGTTATTTTAATTTTCTGGTTATTCAATTAATTATTTTAATTCAATTAATTTTAACTATTTTAATTTCTTTATGTTCTTTAATGTTGTTAAAATATGTTCTTTAATTTCTTTATGCTGAAAATATTTATATTTTTGTCTATACCATTTATTTTAAAAAAATATCCTTTCTGGTCGCCTCGATTCGATGAAGCCCTCGCCTCGCCTCGCCTCGTCGCCTCGCGCTTAGGCGTTAGGAGACCTTGTCGCCTCGGTTCGCTTTTCGCCTTAAAAAACACTGCGTATAGGTGTCCGACACGTGTCGGATACAAACACCCGTCGGACATGCTCCGAACATGTGTCGAACATGCTGGAAAGAGTTGGATAGGCTGCAAATAGGTTAGGGACATGTTGGGGCACGCTGAAGACACATTAGGGATACGTTGAGGACACTCTGGGGACACGTTAAGGACACGTCGAGGACTATTTTTTTCAAAAAAAAATTAAAATTTTTAATTTTTTTACTAAAATAGCCTACCTAAGATTGATAAATTTGTTAAAATTAAATATTTAACATAAAGTACATATTAAATATTTAAAAATATGACATAACAAATATATAAAATTATATATTTTGCACATGTCCCCAATATATCGTGTCCTGCATTTTTTGAAAATTTGTGTGTCCGTGTCGTGTCACATGTCCGCGCTTCTTAGAACATGGGCATGTGACACGTCAAAGAATTATATTTTTTAAAAATTTATCATATGTCAACTGTATGAATAGTTTATTCAAAGGTAATTAAAAAAAATAACACTAGTTAAACTTTTAAAACATGGTATTCCATAACTTAAACATCAAGATATCCTTTACATATCAATTACATTCTAAAACAATGTAAAAAAATTAATTGTAGAACATTGAAATACACATGATGCATTCATCTCATAAATGTTTCAAAGCATATTTAGACTGCACAAGTTGCATTTCAAAGAAAGTAAAAACATTGTTATAACGAAAAGATTCATCACACAGGTCATTTTGGAAAGATTCAGGAAGTGTCGCCAAAGTGTCAATAAAGTGTTTGATATTATGAATTTAAAAATTTTAACAAAGACACATTGAAGAAATGTCAAACATGTTTTTAGGAGTGTCTAAAGAGTGTCGAAGCCCGACACTAGTGTCCAACACGACACACCTCCTCTATAAAAGTGTCTGTGCTTCTTAACCAAAGGGTCTAAGTTAGTGTCCTCTAGCAAGGAGGCCAATGGACAATGAGCTAGTGTCCTAGCTACCTCGACCTCTGAGTATTGACATAAGACAGGTCTCATACTGGTTGGCAGCTTCTCATTGGTTGAAGTTCCTTTAGTCAATATCAGCCCCTTTTCAGCTCTGCACACCTGCAAATTACTACTTTTGGATAGATCCTCTTTCCATTCTTGACAATGATCTATGTAGACACAAATTTTGAAATGTGAAATGTTTTAACACATTTTGAAATTCATGTCACAAACATAGTTTCCTATTTCCAAACTGGATTCCAAATCGTTAATTACTCACTTGAACAAATGAAACCTCTGATTAATGAAGAACCAAAAAGAAATAATTGACAAAAGAAAATTTAAACAAAAGAATGATTTCGTTGAAGTTTTGGGGATTCAAAGCCTCGAAACTACAGAGTTTTAAATAAAATAAACAACGCCCAAATGATACACATTAATATGTGTTTGGGAGGGAAAAGATTGGATACACTCCTAACCTTTGGCATAGTGCACAAAGTGGTTGTCCCAAGACTTGAACCCATAATCTCAAGGTTATTAGGCCAAGGTTTTACCATTGAACCGCCGGTCACCCCTTACCTATAAATAACAAGCCATCACACTGTGTGTGTTGAGTGTTGAGTGTCGTGTTGTTGCTCTTCATGATTCTCTGGGTTCAAACTTTCTCTATAGCACTCAATTTTTCAGCTTTCAAATTCTCTCAATTCTGCTCTCCTAGATTTTTGGTTCTCCCCTTCATGTGTGTAATAGTCCTCATATTTATAGGAGGCCATGCAAATGATAAGAGATGCGTATCCTCAATTTGAATTTTGAATTTTATGAAAACATAATTTAAATTTAAATTATCTTGTATTTCAAATATGGTTGACCATATTGATCTTCTAGATATCCCCTGTAGCTTTCCTACCCTAAGCTCTGTACATGTTATCCTTTAATTGAACGCATCATCCTTTGAATTTCATAGACTCCACATGTTACTTGATTTGTGTAAGCTTGGAGATCTTTTTTTCTATAAATTGTGTAAGCTTGAAGATCTTGAGTAACATCATTGTTTGAATGCGATGTTATTGTATCTTATCATGTATCTCAAAGGATCATATTGATCTTTTTAGAGTTGGTTTCCAACAGCTTCTCTGTCGTAGGGTCTGCATGTGCCATCGTCTGATTGAATGTATCGTCTTTTAAATGTGTCACTTACTTGTATAGGTTCAAAAACTTTTGAATTTTAGGGTCTCCTCATCCCATTGAACCTGGAACCTTATCCTAAATTCAGTTGAAATTTATGCACCAACAATCTATACAGCCTTCCAGATCATATTGTAACCATTAAATGCTACTAAACAGGTGTCTAGTTCTCTTAAAAGGGACAGTTTTCCCCTCTGTACGCATCATCTTGAGCATCATAAACACCATCAATGAGCTCTAAGAAAAAGTCTTCCATTATTTAGTTAGAAGCTTCTATAATGAACTCCCCCTGCAATCTGAATATTCCAGCTTTTATTCCATCATTAACTAGCCACCAAAAAGCCCATTTTTGCTGGAGAAACCTGGCTCAAACTCTTCGAACTAACAGTTTGCTCAGCCATGCACCAGTGGTCTCCGAAAGTGACCCAAAACTCTTCTGAGTTTCCAGCTCACTGTGCACTTACTATATGGTAACATCTTGACTATTTTGCCTCTAAGAAGAACATCACAGCTCAGCAATCAGCCAAATGTGAGACTACTTTGCATTTTCTCTCTCCCTCACCTTCTTAATAAGGTTAGCAATATAATTCTAACACTGTTTTAAGCACTTTGCAGGTCTAAGAAGGAGTTCCACCCCAACCCAGCCCAAAACACACAAGAGGTGTCCTCGATCCAGCACGACATTTTGAGGCCATTGTCATGTTGGGCCTAGATCCACACACACACAAAATAAATAAATAAATAAATTCACAGTGGTGTGAAGCGAAGTCCACATTGCTTGAGTATGAAAGTAATTTGCAATATATAAGCATGAGAACATACTTACCTCAATAGCTAACATAGTATCAGAATCGGATTATCCAGGGGTCACTAGGGTGCGTGTAATTGGCTTGCACACATCAAGTGCTGCCGAGTGAGCACACTGTGTGTGAGAGAGGGTGTGAAACGAAGTCCCACATCACCATGGTATGAAAGTAATGTGAAGTATATAAGCATAAGCACACCCTTACAGCAACAACTAGCTTTTGGGGTTGAGTTCTACCCAAGACCTATGGGGAACGCTCAAAGCCCACTTTCCAAACCCAAAACTAGCACCCCCACATTAGTGACAAAATACAAAAACTCCTCGAGTTACTATATTACATGGATTTGGGTACTAGTGTCGGGTGTGGGAAAGTGTCATGAATATTGGATTCATCTAATTCTCATGTCCAAGGACAAAAGGACATGCCTAGATTTCCTGTTTTCTAAATCATTCTTTTACTTAATCTGGTGAAATGATGCTTACAAGCTAACAAAAAACATTCTATGCATAAAATGGGATGCAGTCTAACACAGATATATGGTAGACTTGACCACTTAGTCATACTTGTTGGGTGCATATACAACTCACACATCCAATACCCTCATCCAAGTGTAAAAGTGTCCAGCATGGATACTTCACAAATTTAGAAGAGTCCATGTAACACATCTAAGTCATCAATCAAGCAGTAAGATATTCTTGACAAAAACACTATTTCGGCTCACTAAAAAAGAAAGGAAAGGAAAGAAAAGAAAAAGAAATAGGAGATGAAGTAAGATAGAAAAATAACACGAGAAAATAATTTATCAATGTCTTTCCAAATTCTAACAAAGAAAACATCTAGGCCAGCACACCACATAAGATAGGTACACAGAATTTTGGGCAAACCTTCAGGTAATTTCCATCAAGACCTATCGCTAGATTGCAATCTGCAATGGCATCAGAAATTTGGCCCAAAGTTTGGCGGGCAGCAGCACGCTTGCGGAAACAGATAGCCGTAAAGAGACGTGATTCAGTACTGCTTGATATAGCGGCAGTATAATGCTCTATTGCTTCCGTATGCCTTCCAGCATGAAGTGCTTCATTCCCAGCTTTCTGGAATTGAAACAATCGAAAAACACAATGTTTGTTCAATACATAGAACACCAACCTCGTCATAAAGCATCAAGGGTTGCAATTACATGAGTGACTAAAAAAGCAAAACAAGTCAACCATGAATCCAAAGAAATAGATAAATATGAACAGCATAAAATTTTAACCTTGCCAGAAAAGGAAGACTATTTTTTTGGCTAAGTGCTAGAAAAGGATGCCGCAAAATTCCACCTTTTTGAAGAATAGATTCTACCAAGAAGAACACGTTTTGATGTATGTATAGCATGCCACAACCCCTACACAACTGAATTCTTTGAAAGCATGTCACACATGTTATGTACTGTGTGTATTTTTAAGTTCAAAAGCAACTTTATTACCAAAAGTTCAAAAAGGATCAACCGATTCTTTACAATAAATGACATTAAAAAATAAATAATGACCACATAAATTTAAATGGGCATATAATCTAATTACACAAAACTTAAATCTTCTTCCAAAAATGACCACTTCTTGTTATTTTCATGAACTGCACTTCAAATCACTGAAACAGGTCTTATAGACCTTAGTTCTCTTCAGACAACCAAATTTTACTTTTTTCCAACCACATCCAATCCATTTTGCAACAAATCCTTGTTGTACTGTCAAAATGCCCTTTACCAACTTGATACCTGGGATTAATATCAGACTTTCAGGCAATGTTGAATTATTTGGCCACATATCAATAACATAGAGCTTCCATCAAAATTAGAGGTCTTCCTAAAAGATTGTGAGAGTACAAAGAAAGATTTTCCTTCAATGATTGGTTCTATGGAGGCTATTTGTAAATCCATCAAGTGACAATAGAAAATAGATGCAGGCACTAAAAAAGATAAAGCTTCTACCCATCACAGTTCCAAATGGGAGGCTGAAATTGTTACTCACTGTTGAAAACTGAATTTTCATATTCATTTAAAATTAAAGGGGGTCTATTATTCCATTAAATTATTATTCGACTTTAGGCTACAAGGTGGTCTTAAAGACAGTTTCAAAAGGCTTTACGGAGACTCCCTTCAATGCCAGCTTTGAGGCGAGGCCAAGGCAAAATGCATCAAAGCTTCAAATCTAACCACCACCACCACCAAAGCTTTTTCCCTAAAATCTAACCACCACCACCAAAGCTATGGTCTTGTCTTGTCCCTAGACTCCCTACTGAAATGGCTTGCAGGACCACCAACATATAGCTCCCAAACTAGGAAGTCCCTAAGTGAACTACAAGTAATGCACAACCTAGTGCCTCTAAAAACATAATTGTCCTAAATGATAAGATTAACACATTCACAACATTTACTATCTCGAACCTCTTTAAAACAAAGGCCAAAACCAGGACCCTTCAACTTCTTGAATACTATCACACGGACACTTATGGATTGTAAGACAACATTAGCTTGACTAAGAGCATTCACAAGCTTGTTCTCAACACTAATGTGGCACTTAAGAACAATAGTGTACTCGTAGAAGAATTCTACCTATCCAACATATCAAGCACCAAGTATAATCTGAGAGTGAATATGCCTATGTGCATGATGGTCAAAAAATAACACAAACTACTAGGGTAGAATATAACACCTCTAATGGTGCAAGACCGTACAACTACATAAAATTCATTATCATAGGTAGAAAATCTCTGCTTAGCTTCATTCAGTGTAAAACACCATTCACCACAGACAAACTACTCATATAGAGACATCCTAAGAAGTTCTTCACAAGAAACTTAGTTTAAGTACTAGGAAGTTGTGAATTGGTGGTGGTTGTTGGTTTTGGGATGAGCCAAGAAAACCCTATTGTTTGTTTTGTGATTTGTGAGTATAAAGGGTGAAGGTGATCATAGACAAAATTTAAGTGGAGTTGTAACGATTTTGAGTTAAACATTGGGAAAACCTATTGTTGATTAATGGAGATTAGAATATGCCGGAAAGGTAGGCTGAGAGTAGACATAGGCACAAGGGGTATGTTGAACCACTATAAATCCTTATGTTCATTCTCTTTACATTACTTGCATTTATTTTGTGTGATCATGTTGTGAATGTATGAGATTAATACAAAACTGTTGAATGTATCCCTTGAAATAATTTGAAGTATAATCCTTTTCACTATGTCAATTCATTTAACAACTAACCTTCTTGAAAGAAGCAAGACAACTACATCAATTAAAGAGAAGGCAATTTGGGCAAAAGTTAAGAGGAATTAAAAAGCCCTATTCAACCCCCCACACCTCCAACACCTTTTTCATGCCTTACACAATTATGGTTCCAAATCCAAGTCACAAATAAAAAATTGGCAGCATACCTCATAGTGTAAAAGTTTGCGTATAGTAGCAGCAAATAGCATGGATGAACCCAAAATATTGCTTTGATACCTGAGCATAAATTAGATTAGTTTCTTAAAAAATGTTTAAAGAAGGGAATGCCCAATTTTAACTGGAGACCAGAAAATGTAGTGTATGATAAAAATTACGTATTACTTCTCTTCAGTGCATCTCAATTGCTCGTGCTTCTTAATTAAATCGAGAGCCACCTCCAGCCTCCCCAATTGAAAGTGGGACCTGGACATGAGGTGCCACCTCCACAGCCTTACAGACGGGTGCTTATTGTATTGAGAACCATTCCCTTTAGGTAAATTGTTACCAGCACCTACCATGGGGAAATTCTTTTCAGCACAACCAAGAGTCCGCTCACACAACTGAATCACCTCTTCATACTTCTGCAGCTGCTAGATGCCACAGAAATAAAGCCAATGCTGAGACCGAAATTTCAGACATACAAATCAAAGTTTTAAGGAATGGGAGTTTATTGAATTTCACGGCCTTAATAAATCAAGTATAAATAGTTGTGTGAGATGCATAGACAAACCATAAGAAGAGCTTTCCCTTTCATTTCAAGTAATTTCTCTGAGTACGAACTTATTGATAAGACATCATCAATTATTGCTAACGCATTAGTTGCTGCATCGGAAGTTCTCTGTTTCAAGAGTTCAGCACATTGATGTATACAATTGGCCACTTTCTGCAATCACCATATTAGACATTGGATTATCTAGTTATTCATAGAGAAGCCTGCAACACACACACACACACACACACACACAGAGAAGGAAACTGTAGAATAACTAAAGGTATAAAAAGTTAATTTAGTAATTTCAAGAAGGACGCATAACAGCAATGTGATCAATTATATACTGCACAAAGTTTGAAAAATTGAAGATTAATGAAGATGGTTTGGTCATATACAATGGAGACCAACAGAGGCAATAGTCAAGAGATGCGACATAGTAACGGTAGATGGAAGTGTGAGGGGAAGGGACAAACCTAGATTAACGTGAGCTAGTATAGTAAATAGAGATATGAATCTCCTTAATTTGAATAATGATATGGCCTTGGATGGAGTCGAATGGAGAAGAAGGATTCATGTCGCCGACCCCATTTGATGGGACTTAAGGCTTGGTTTGGGTTGGTTTGGTTAATGAAGGAATCCAAAGAGATCACACAAATCATAACAATGCCATACCCATCCAGCAAATCATATGTAAAAAATTAATGTATTATTGATTGATGTATGTTGATATAATATTCTTCAAATCATATCACATCAATTCAAGAACAATTCTAGCTTCTTTCCTTATATATATCTATGTGTGTTCCCTTTAGGTCCTTCTAGATTTTCAGCTATGTATATTGTGCAAGGTACAGATATGTAATTTTATGTAATTATATAATTTTTACAAGTGGTTGGACTTGTCAAGGGCAAAACACAATACTTGCCTTAGAACAAATTCTCTAAATGTTTTACAGTATCAGAACCATACAATCCATAACAGTAACTTCTCTCAAGATAACTCACCCTACTTTTCCCAGATTCCATGCCTTCTTCTTCCTCTTCTTTTTCTCTCCCCATCGGCAATATTGCTAGTTATGTTTAAGTGAAAATCATAGGTCCCAAAGGAGCAAGGACTTAATCTATACTTGCTTGGCTTTGTACCTACATTTGGCAAGATCAACTCAACTCTATTCTTATCTGTAATGATCTCTTTGGCTTCGTTGATGGCTACATTACTCTTCTTAAAAAATGTTATCACAGCCAATTCTTCTTCATCTTCCACTAATCCAGAATATCCCAACTGGCAAAAACTTTATCAATTTGTAAGGAGAAGCATTAAAGCAACACTTTCTGAGGGCCTAGCCAAAAAAAAAAAATAGGACTTGAGTTGATCTTATGAACGCTTAGTTAATGCTGTGAGAATATATTGTGAATCTTACAAATTATATTAGAGTCCTATTAGAGGCATGATTGTATTAGAGACCTTAGATTATATAGCCCTAACTCCTAATTATTCCGTCCTACGTGTTTTTGGGTCTTCTTGTTTTGTCCTCCTTCCTCGTAAAAATATGACCAAACTCAGTGCCCGGTCTGTCTTGTGTATCTTTTTGGGTTACAATCTTACTCAGAAAGGCTACCGTTGTTACGATCCTGTCTCTCGTCGCTTTTTTGTCTCCCGTCATGTTGCTTTTCTCGAACATCTGCCTTACTTTCAACTTCCCCCTCTCACTGCTCCAGTATCCAATGAGGATTTGGTTCACATTGACCCATTTCCTTCTGAGGTCTCGTCTGATGAATACATCTCCATTGTTCCTCTTGAGCTTATTCCATCTTCTCCTCCTACTTCACCTTTGGCTACTTCTCCTCCTTCAGCTTCTTCTCCTCCTCCATTATTAGTTTATTCTTGTCGCAAGGCTCCTCCTCCACTGGTTGTCTCTGCCCCTGCTGCTGCTCCTCCTGCTTCTGACGACTCTGATCCTACTAAACACCGATATCTTACTCGAGCGCGTCATCCTCCAAACAGGATCCTCATTGGGTTCACACTATGGAGGATGAGTTGTCTGCTCTACAAAAAACTAGTACTTGGGAGCTGGTTCCTTTGCCTGCTAGTTAGAACTTGGTTGGTTGCAAATGGGTCTACAAAGTCAAGACTCATTCTGATTGGTCTCTTGAGCGCTGCAAAGCTCGTTTGGTTGCCAAAGGTTTCTCTCAGGAGTATGGTATTGATTATTAGGAGACATTTGCTCCTGTTGCCAAGATGACTACTGTCCGTACTTTGATCTCTGTCGCTGCTATTCGTTCTTGGCCTCTTTATCAGATGGATGTTAAGAATGCTTTTCTTAATAGCCATCTCACTGAGAAAGTTTACATGCGTCCTCCTCCTAGCCTTCCCCATTCTTCTGGCCAAGTTTATCGTCTTTGGCGTGCTCTGTATGGTCTAAAGCAATCTCCTCATGCTTGGTATGATCGCTTTCAGACTACTGTTACCGAGCTTGGGTTTCATCCTTCTGCTTCCGACTTTGTTTTATTTCTGAGACATACATCGGCTGGTTTTGTTGCTCTCTTACTCTATGTAGATGATGTGATCATCACTGACTCTAACTCTTCTACTATCTCTGAGGTCAAACAGCATCTCTTCCGTACCTTCGAAATGAAAGATCTGGGTCCATTACAGTATTTTCTTGGTATTGAGGTTGTTTCTTCTCCAAGGGGCTATTTTCTGTCTCGGACTAAGTATACTAATGAAGTCATTCACCGTGCTGGTCTTACCAATATTAAGGTTTTTGATACACCTATTGAGCTTAATGTGAAACTTAACTCTACTAATGGTGTCCCTCTGGATGATCCCACTTTATATCGTAAGCTTGTGGGTTATTTAGTTTATCTTACTGTCACTCGCCCTGATCTTGCTTATGTTGTTCATGTGGTTAGTCAGTTCGTTTCTGCTCCTCGCTCTACTCATTGGGCTGCTTTGGTTCGCATTCTTCTCTATCTCAGAGGTACCATCTTTCTGGGCTTACTATTGTCCTCTCCTTCCTCTTTGGATTTGGTGGCCTATGCTGATTCTGATTGGACTGGTGATGTTACTGATCGCAAGTCTACGTCTAGTTTCTATATGTTTCTTAGTGATTCCTTGATCTCTTGAAAAAGCAAAAAACAATCAGTCATTGCTTGCTCTACTACTGAAACTGAGTATCGTGCTATGGCTCATGCCACTGCTGAGATTGTTTGGCTTCGTTGTCTTTTGTCTGATTTGGGTGTCTCTCAGTCTTCTCCGACCTCTCTCTATTGTGACAACCGCAATGCTGTTCAGATTGCCCACAATACTGTCTTCCATGAGCAGACAAAACACATTGAGATTAATTGTCACTTTGTTCGCCAGCATCTGCAGTCTGCCTCTATCTCGCTTCCTTTCATCCCTTCGACTTTGCAACTTGCAGACTTCTTCACTAAGACTCACACTACCGCTCAATTTCAGTTTATTCTTAGCAAACTCTCAGTGTTTTCTGCTGGAAATTTGTTACTGATCGCAAGTCTACGTCTAGTTTCTATATGTTTCTTAGTGATTCCTTGATCTCTTGAAAAAGCAAAAAACAATCAGTCATTGCTTGCTCTACTACTGAAACTGAGTATCGTGCTATGGCTCATGCCACTGCTGAGATTGTTTGGCTTCGTTGTCTTTTGTCTGATTTGGGTGTCTCTCAGTCTTCTCTGACCTCTCTCTATTGTGACAACCGCAGTGCTGTTCAGATTGCCCACAATACTGTCTTCCATGAGCAGACAAAACACATTAAGATTGATTGTCACTTTGTTCGCCAGCATCTGCAGTCTGCCTCTATCTCGCTTCCTTTCATCCCTTCGGCTTTGCAACTTGCAGACTTCTTCACTAAGACTCACACTACCGCTCAATTTCAGTTTATTCTTAGCAAACTCTCAGTGTTTTCTGCTAAAATACCTTGAGTTTAAGCGGGGGTGTGAGAGTATATTGTGAAATATACTGTGAATCTTACAAATTATATTAGAGTCCTATTAGAGGCATGATTGTATTAGAGTCTTATGTATTGTATTTCCTTTTTGGTTTAGGAGTCATATTTTTCGGAGTTCTTCTTCCTCATATTTTTCTAAGTTTTTCTGCTAAAATACCTTGAGTTTAAGCGGGGGTGTGAGAGTATATTGTGAAATATACTGTGAATCTTACAAATTATATTAGAGTCCTATTAGAGGCATGATTGTATTAGAGTCTTATGTATTGTATTTCCTTTTTGGTTTAGGAGTTAGGGCTATACAATCTAAGGTCTGATTATAATCTAACATACAGTTGCATATACAAAAATACAGAAAACTTACAAATGTCCCATCTGTCATCTGGCTTGAAAAGTGTCTACTAAATTTGAAGAAAGCTTTTGTAATGTGAAACAAGTTAGGCATAAATGTATTGTTCATAACAATGTCCCAACTTGGCTTGAAAAAGAGAACTCAAATCCGGGTCAAGAAATAACATTTTTCAAAATACTTGTAAAGGATCTCCTAGTCATTTCACTAGAACTACATTTATGAATCATGACATGCACATGCACAGGCAGACAAACATAATTACTCATACATCTTTAAATAGATAAGAAATACGTGTATATCTACGTTCCCATTGCCCTTTCGTCTATAATTTCTTTTTTGGATTCTACAAATAGCAGGTGGACAAAAATCTACATGAAAATGGATCAACTGATGAAAGGAGTAGTGAAATGGTTTGTTAAAGAGAATTATCAAAGATGATGACATCGATACCACCAAAATCCAAAACTACAACAATGATACCTTAGCCTTTTGTAGCCCATCAGCAGCTTCTAAAACAACTTTTCGATCCAAACATAGATAACCCCCAGATTCCGTGAACTTGTTGAAATATTGCACCGCATCTTCAACTTCTCCCAGCATAAGATGACAACTAGAAAAACAAAAATCAGAATAAAAATGTTACTAACAAAAAACAATAAGAAAATATAAATAAACAAAAAAGACTTATAAACAATGTCCGTCAGCAACATGTAAAGCGACCTATGCATGATCACTACAATAGAAAAAGGTTCTCACCATGAAATGATTTGTCACAAGTCAAAATTTCATCATAAAAAAGTTATTGTGACAAATCATTGCTCCTTCATCACAATGAGCTCATCCCAATAAGTTTATCATGACCAAAACACCAACCACCACAACAAGCTTACCCGTAGAGCAATGAAAAGGAGTTTTGTCACAATGGAAAATTAGCAACTTTTGTCACACTGTTTTCATTGCAAAAAGTACATTCCTCTTGTAAAAAACAAAAACAACAAAAAACAAAAAACAATAACGAAAAAGGGAACCTTTTATGATGAAGTGAGTTCGCCATATATGCCACATACATTCATTGAGGGACCATGGGGTTGCACAAATGGAATTATTCCATTTAGAATAACTAGAATAGCTTTTAGCTCTCCCAAATATAGATTAGGTAATTCAACATAAGCTGATTTTAAATTTTCACAAAGGAAGTAAAATTAATAGATTCTTGAGCTTTATGTTTACCACCAAATTCATCTAACCATCTAATTGGTTAATGGGTTAATTTTGAAATGGTCCAATTCACATTTTTTTTGGGACAACCAAATTAGCCCAAAAAGTATATGCACAAAATATGTGTGTGGGAGCACCAAGGAAGGCCATACTTTGCAGCCCGGAGTCGAACTTTGAGAAAGTTAGGATCTAGAGTAGCAGCCACCAGACAATCTCCTAAAGCATCTCTAAACCTTTTGCAAGTCATGCGTACGGCAGCACGGTTACTATAACACAGCACAAGAGGCTCAAGGCATAAGGATTCTGATATGTCATTACAAGGAACAGACTTCACACCCTTTGTGTAACATTCCTCAGCTCTGGACAGATCATCTTGTTTGTAAGCTTCATTTCCCCTGATACAAAAATCATATTGTTCTATCAAACAGTAGAGTAAACAATTTGATGGGTTTCACTGTTCAGCCCAACAAAAACAGCAATAATTACAATGCCCAACAACAAAAACAGTAGTGGTAATGATTTTGTGTTTTTCAGAAACAAAAATACAAAACTTTTTTCAAAATTCAAAAGCTATCTTTAAATTATTTTTTGGGTTAATTTGAAACTATACTAACAAATAAAATTTGAGTTTTTGAAAAATAATTTACTATTTCTTCTAAAAATAAGGTAGCTTTCATGTAATTAGTATAAAGATACAGTTCACTAAACTAGTTTAGAAAGTTTCCCCAAAAAAGAAAACCAAAAAACGAAAAAACAGAATCAAAGAGAGCTCAGAAATAATTAAACACAAAAAAAAACAAAAAATCATTGAAGAGTGAAAGTGTTGAGAATCACCTGAGTCTCCACCTTTCACAGGCTTCCAGAGCTGCGGAATTTGACATGATGTGTTCTCAATTTTATTACAGTGACTGCTTCGAATGCGAAGACCAACTCTCAACTCTCAACTCTCATCACCATCATCATCATCATCATCATCATCATCATCTTTCTCTCCCTCCCTGCGTTGACCGCTAATTGATGGGAAATCAAGTCGTGTCGTAAGGCAGAAGAAAAAGAAGACATGAGTGAGCCAATTTTGGCCCCTGGCAAAGTGATTACAGATTATAGGTTAAGTGATTATAGCTTATATCTGTTAGTATAAGTTGGTAACTTGTTTGATATAGTTGTGGAATTGTAGATTTAAGTAGTAAAGTAGTGTTTAGTTAATAAGTTATAAAATAATTTTTTACCGTATAATTGTCCATTTTGCCTTTATATGATATAAAAATAATTATTTTGTCATTTTTTTAATTTTAATTTTTAAAAAATTATTTCATTAATAAAAGTTAATATAATTAGCCTCACTTAATACTAAAATTAATAATACTATCAATTAGTTTAAATTTTTTCATTTTTCAGTACAAATTAATTAGTGTTAATTAATGGCTTAATTACCATCAATTAATACCAAAAATTAATAATAGTATCAATTAGTATAATTTTTTTAATTTTTTCATTACAAATTAATTATGTCAATTAATGGCTTAATTACCATCAATTAATACCAAAAATTAATAATAGTATCAATTAGTATAATTTTTTTAATTTTTTCATTACAAATTAATTATGTCAATTAATGGCTTAATTACCATCAATTAATACCAAAAATTAATAATAGTATCAATTAGTATAATTTTTTTAATTTTTTCATTACAAATTAATTATGTCAATTAATGGCTTAATTACCATCAATTAATACCAAAAATTAATAATAGTATCAATTAGTATAATTTTTTTAATTTTTTCATTACAAATTAATTATGTCAATTAATGGCTTAATTACCATCAATTAATACCAAAAATTAATAATAGTATCAATTAGTATAATTTTTTTAATTTTTTCATTACAAATTAATTATGTCAATTAATGGCTTAATTACCATCAATTAATACCAAAAATTAATAATAGTATCAATTAGTATAATTTTTTTAATTTTTTCATTACAAATTAATTATGTCAATTAATGGCTTAATTACCATCAATTAATACCAAAAATTAATAATAGTATCAATTAGTATAATTTTTTTAATTTTTTCATTACAAATTAATTATGTCAATTAATGGCTTAATTACCATCAATTAATACCAAAAATTAATAATAGTATCAATTAGTATAATTTTTTTAATTTTTTCATTACAAATTAATTATGTCAATTAATGGCTTAATTACCATCAATTAATACCAAAAATTAATAATAGTATCAATTAGTATAATTTTTTTAATTTTTTCATTACAAATTAATTATGTCAATTAATGGCTTAATTACCATCAATTAATACCAAAAATTAATAATAGTATCAATTAGTATAATTTTTTTAATTTTTTCATTACAAATTAATTATGTCAATTAATGGCTTAATTACCATCAATTAATACCAAAAATTAATAATAGTATCAATTAGTATAATTTTTTTAATTTTTTCATTACAAATTAATTATGTCAATTAATGGCTTAATTACCATCAATTAATACCAAAAATTAATAATAGTATCAATTAGTATAATTTTTTTAATTTTTTCATTACAAATTAATTATGTCAATTAATGGCTTAATTACCATCAATTAATACCAAAAATTAATAATAGTATCAATTAGTATAATTTTTTTAATTTTTTCATTACAAATTAATTATGTCAATTAATGGCTTAATTACCATCAATTAATACCAAAAATTAATAATAGTATCAATTAGTATAATTTTTTTAATTTTTTCATTACAAATTAATTATGTCAATTAATGGCTTAATTACCATCAATTAATACCAAAAATTAATAATAGTATCAATTAGTATAATTTTTTTAATTTTTTCATTACAAATTAATTATGTCAATTAATGGCTTAATTACCATCAATTAATACCAAAAATTAATAATAGTATCAATTAGTATAATTTTTTTAATTTTTTCATTACAAATTAATTATGTCAATTAATGGCTTAATTACCATCAATTAATACCAAAAATTAATAATAGTATCAATTAGTATAATTTTTTTAATTTTTTCATTACAAATTAATTATGTCAATTAATGGCTTAATTACCATCAATTAATACCAAAAATTAATAATAGTATCAATTAGTATAATTTTTTTAATTTTTTCATTACAAATTAATTATGTCAATTAATGGCTTAATTACCATCAATTAATACCAAAAATTAATAATAGTATCAATTAGTATAATTTTTTTAATTTTTTCATTACAAATTAATTATGTCAATTAATGGCTTAATTACCATCAATTAATACCAAAAATTAATAATAGTATCAATTAGTATAATTTTTTTAATTTTTTCATTACAAATTAATTATGTCAATTAATGGCTTAATTACCATCAATTAATACCAAAAATTAATAATAGTATCAATTAGTATAATTTTTTTAATTTTTTCATTACAAATTAATTATGTCAATTAATGGCTTAATTACCATCAATTAATACCAAAAATTAATAATAGTATCAATTAGTATAATTTTTTTAATTTTTTCATTACAAATTAATTATGTCAATTAATGGCTTAATTACCATCAATTAATACCAAAAATTAATAATAGTATCAATTAGTATAATTTTTTTAATTTTTTCATTACAAATTAATTATGTCAATTAATGGCTTAATTACCATCAATTAATACCAAAAATTAATAATAGTATCAATTAGTATAATTTTTTTAATTTTTTCATTACAAATTAATTATGTCAATTAATGGCTTAATTACCATCAATTAATACCAAAAATTAATAATAGTATCAATTAGTATAATTTTTTTAATTTTTTCATTACAAATTAATTATGTCAATTAATGGCTTAATTACCATCAATTAATACCAAAAATTAATAATAGTATCAATTAGTATAATTTTTTTAATTTTTTCATTACAAATTAATTATGTCAATTAATGGCTTAATTACCATCAATTAATACCAAAAATTAATAATAGTATCAATTAGTATAATTTTTTTAATTTTTTCATTACAAATTAATTATGTCAATTAATGGCTTAATTACCATCAATTAATACCAAAAATTAATAATAGTATCAATTAGTATAATTTTTTTAATTTTTTCATTACAAATTAATTATGTCAATTAATGGCTTAATTACCATCAATTAATACCAAAAATTAATAATAGTATCAATTAGTATAATTTTTTTAATTTTTTCATTACAAATTAATTATGTCAATTAATGGCTTAATTACCATCAATTAATACCAAAAATTAATAATAGTATCAATTAGTATAATTTTTTTAATTTTTTCATTACAAATTAATTATGTCAATTAATGGCTTAATTACCATCAATTAATACCAAAAATTAATAATAGTATCAATTAGTATAATTTTTTTAATTTTTTCATTACAAATTAATTATGTCAATTAATGGCTTAATTACCATCAATTAATACCAAAAATTAATAATAGTATCAATTAGTATAATTTTTTTAATTTTTTCATTACAAATTAATTATGTCAATTAATGGCTTAATTACCATCAATTAATACCAAAAATTAATAATAGTATCAATTAGTATAATTTTTTTAATTTTTTCATTACAAATTAATTATGTCAATTAATGGCTTAATTACCATCAATTAATACCAAAAATTAATAATAGTATCAATTAGTATAATTTTTTTAATTTTTTCATTACAAATTAATTATGTCAATTAATGGCTTAATTACCATCAATTAATACCAAAAATTAATAATAGTATCAATTAGTATAATTTTTTTAATTTTTTCATTACAAATTAATTATGTCAATTAATGGCTTAATTACCATCAATTAATACCAAAAATTAATAATAGTATCAATTAGTATAATTTTTTTAATTTTTTCATTACAAATTAATTATGTCAATTAATGGCTTAATTACCATCAATTAATACCAAAAATTAATAATAGTATCAATTAGTATAATTTTTTTAATTTTTTCATTACAAATTAATTATGTCAATTAATGGCTTAATTACCATCAATTAATACCAAAAATTAATAATAGTATCAATTAGTATAATTTTTTTAATTTTTTCATTACAAATTAATTATGTCAATTAATGGCTTAATTACCATCAATTAATACCAAAAATTAATAATAGTATCAATTAGTATAATTTTTTTAATTTTTTCATTACAAATTAATTATGTCAATTAATGGCTTAATTACCATCAATTAATACCAAAAATTAATAATAGTATCAATTAGTATAATTTTTTTAATTTTTTCATTACAAATTAATTATGTCAATTAATGGCTTAATTACCATCAATTAATACCAAAAATTAATAATAGTATCAATTAGTATAATTTTTTTAATTTTTTCATTACAAATTAATTATGTCAATTAATGGCTTAATTACCATCAATTAATACCAAAAATTAATAATAGTATCAATTAGTATAATTTTTTTAATTTTTTCATTACAAATTAATTATGTCAATTAATGGCTTAATTACCATCAATTAATACCAAAAATTAATAATAGTATCAATTAGTATAATTTTTTTAATTTTTTCATTACAAATTAATTATGTCAATTAATGGCTTAATTACCATCAATTAATACCAAAAATTAATAATAGTATCAATTAGTATAATTTTTTTAATTTTTTCATTACAAATTAATTATGTCAATTAATGGCTTAATTACCATCAATTAATACCAAAAATTAATAATAGTATCAATTAGTATAATTTTTTTAATTTTTTCATTACAAATTAATTATGTCAATTAATGGCTTAATTACCATCAATTAATACCAAAAATTAATAATAGTATCAATTAGTATAATTTTTTTAATTTTTTCATTACAAATTAATTATGTCAATTAATGGCTTAATTACCATCAATTAATACCAAAAATTAATAATAGTATCAATTAGTATAATTTTTTTAATTTTTTCATTACAAATTAATTATGTCAATTAATGGCTTAATTACCATCAATTAATACCAAAAATTAATAATAGTATCAATTAGTATAATTTTTTTAATTTTTTCATTACAAATTAATTATGTCAA